ATGCAGGTCATGAAAGAATATGTCAAAAGGAAAGAAACACTTCATAAGGTTCCAGTTGTTATCTCTAGAGCAGATAAGGGAATCTATAATCTTGTAATAAGGTCTAGGTGATTTTAGGACAACAGACAAACAACTATGAGGAAGTGGGTCAGAGAGCAGGCTGACCTCATAATCAGTGCTGGACATACTGCAAGCTTCTTTAGTCTCATTTCCCTACCTCCCTTCTCCCCTGATTACTTTAATAAAGTTTCTTGGGACAGTTTCAGGTGCTCAGCTTTTCCATATGATTAGGTGAGTGATTCAGGACCCTTCCAAAGAATGCTGTGACTCAACCCTCTGCTTGAACAACATGCAAGATAATATGAGACATTTACTTATTGAGGACCTTCTGAGCACCTGACACTGTGCCAGATTCTTTCAGATATATAAAATTTCACTTGCTCCTGATGATTCTGGAAAGGAATGATGGCATCTTATGAAGCTGTAGCAGATGCTGTTCTGGCCTCTCTCACGCCTGTCAGACGTGTTGGAGTGCCCCAGCTACTGCTCTGCACGTGTAGCTGAGGTCCTGGTGGAAAAATACCACAGGAGCTCTCTGAAGCTGGAGTGGAATAATTCTGAAGTGTATGTTCTTCCTCCTTTCCCAGTATCTCCCCATGGGATTAAGCTCTGGTCGCCTGCTGCTCTTGTTGGTCTTGTGGCACACATGTGGCAAGATGTCACCCTTTCCATGGGTTGCATCCACTTTCCTTGCTGTATTATTCATACTCTCTAAATTAAATACTTTCACTCAAATCCCTGCCTTTGTGTCTGCTTCTTCGAGAAACCAGACTAAGTAAGTTGGGGGCTGCTGGGATGCTTTGAAGATGCAGCTCAGGATTGGTGCCTAGATCAATGTGAATCCACCTTCAGCATATAGATGAAAACTGAGACACAAGGGAGGTGGGAACAACTCACCTGAGATCACTCAGTCAGTAGACACCTAGGATGACAACTGGGGTTTACCCTTCATGGAAATGCCAATCCTTTGCCTGTCCCAAGGTGGCTTGATCTTTGCACTGTAGACATTGTGAGCCGGGTAATTCTTTGCTGTGAGGGGCTGCCCTGTGCATTGTAGGAGGTTTCACAGCATCCTCTATTCACTAGATGCCAGGAGTATCCCACCCCCTATTGTGATAACCAAAAATGTCTCCCTCAGATTTGCTGAATGTGCCTTTGGCAGGATGGGAGGATTCTCCCTTGACAACCACAGCCCAAAAGAGCCAGATTCCATAGGAAAAAGGGCAGTGCTCATACTGATGGACAGAGGCGAGTGACGGCACATGAATAGCCTCCTTATTGAGTCTTTGATCCAATCTAGTATCGTCTGACTCCAAATCTGGCCCACTTTCCATTATGTAGGCTTCTTGTGATCAATTGTTCCACTGCTCTGCTTGTCAGATAGAAAGTTCTTTCCTGTTGAGCCCAAATCTGCTTCCCGGTAACTGACTTAATCAGCGTGCCCTCCGGAGCTGTGCAAGAGGACTAATCCTTTTCATGGGCTGCACTTCAACTATTTGAAAACAACTTGTGTGTCCCTGCTCTGTTCCCTCCCTGCCCTGCCCCCCGCCAACCCCTCCGTGAACCTTCGGAGTCTTCCCACGGCTGCCTGGGTACTCAAAGCTTTGCTCAACAACAAATTCAGCAACTACACCACCTACTATGTGCCAGGTGCTACCACATGTCAGGAAACAATTCTCAGACAGGGAATTCAACTTCTTGGTTCCTTTTCAAGCCTGTGAACAAGAATTGCCATAGTCTAGAGTTCATGCATGTTAAAGCTTCTGGGCGATTTGGACCATATGAAATGTTGTTTTCTGTTCAAGATGTTCTTTCACATCCTGCATGCCAACAAAACCACTGGCATCAGCAGGTCTGAAGGACCTCACAAGAAGCAGAGTCACCAAAGGACACAGGTTCCACATCCTGATGACTTCATCCTCCTCACCCTGACCAATCAATGATCCCAATTTTCCAGCCCCTCATCCTCCAGGACACACACACACGCATTCATTCTACAATCCTGCCTGCATTTAAGTCCCGCATTTAAGAGCCTTTGATCTACTGTGCTCTAGCTCCAGGCAATAGAGCTCTGATATCTTAAAGCAGCTATGTAACAGATGACTTTGAAGAAAGTATTAAAAAGGAACTCTTAATAGGATGCTAAGTTAAAGAGGTACATGTTTCTGTCCAGTCACATTTTCAGTAAAATTGCTTTTAAAAAGCTTACACCAAAAAAAAGCCTGGAAGTGGATCCAAAAAAAATGTTAGTGAGGTTTCTTTCTCTAGAAGTAGAATTAAAGGAAATTAAATATTTTCCTTTGTCCTTTGCTTTACTTTAAAGCTTGTAGAATGAATGCAAATGCGTGTCTGTGTGTATATATGTATATAAACATATACGCATATATTCATGTACATTGCAATCAGTTTTCAAAAGTTTTTTGTAAAATTGTACTGATGACAATCTTTTTGCTATTTCTCATAGGGACTGGTGATACCTGGAAGAAATAAGGGATAGAGATGCAGAATGCAATCATGGAACTGGATGCATTTGGGGAATAAGAAAGCACTGGAATGACAGAGCTGGAACAAATGCCGGCTCATCCCCCATCACTGAAGCATGCGGGAAAGATGATTTATATGGGACCACAGCTCATCTAGATGAACATCCTGAGTGAAAAGAAACTGACATAGGGAACACAAAATAGTGACACCAGAGAAACGAGCACCAAGGGTGGGTAAAAAACCAAAAACGGGCTTTTATAGCTACTGGAGTTAAAACACCATTCGTCCAACTCCCTGGTTGAATGTAGCCTATCACAAATGATGCTTTCATTCCCATTCGTCTGCGGCTTTACTTTACATGACCTATATTCTATTTTAAGGGTTTCTGAGCTTCACAAATGAGCACATGACATGATTTTCCTCTTTCCCTTTGAACTGTCCCTTTTTCAATTAAATAAATCACAATGGCTTACTTTTTCTTGGAAGAGCTTTTCTGATTTCCTATTTGCTCTGCTCCTTCTAAATCTCCCAGATTCAACGTCAAGCCTTTGACTCCTGTCCCGTCTCATGGATAGACGTTCTCCTTTCTTCCTCCCAGAAGCGTTCCCTTCCTCTTAGTACATCCTTGTGTTCTTTCTGGCTGCCAGGATATGGGTCCTAGGCAGAGGCTGGGCAGGCATGTCCTCCCTGTGGCTACCGGAGTTTGGCAAATGAGCACAAAATTTGCAGACTTGTGCAACTGCCCACACCCACTTCTTTTAAAAGTGAACTGGAAGTCTAATGTTTCCAGCCATGTCACACCAACTGGATGCCACGGGGCAGCCTCTGCTCTACTGGAGTGATATTCCTGTATCTTTTGAGGGCAATTCCATCTACTGTTGCTAGGACTGTGTGTATGTGCTTGTGTATGAGAGAGAGAGAAAGAAAGAGAGAGAATTCTAGCAAAGTAATGTGTCTATGAGGACTGGTAGATAATGCTACCCTAAATAACTTGGACTTCCACTGGCTGGCTTTTGTTCATAAAATGCTAATCCTTTCAGGTGTAGGCCTATATAAAACACTGGGGGTTAAAGGGTGCACAGAACCCTCAAATCTCGTCTGCTGCATAAGGTAAAGCTACGTTTAAACTAACAGTTCAAAATGATTTGGGGCATACTAACAAGGAGTCATTTCCAATTCTTTATTAAATACAAACGTGATGTAGATCATAGATGTGCTGAAGTATTAACAGTCAGTCAGTAGATTACAGCAGTTCTTTTCTAGATTGCTTTTTAATGCATGGCTGTCTTTGGGAAAATTAATTTATCATGTCTATAGTGATGGAGAGGTTATCATTTCATTTCACAAGGAAAACTGTCACTGGCATTTCACTGAAAATGGTACTTTTCTTGCATGAGAAATGAAGATATCTTAGATTTAATGTGCAGGGTCCATGGTGTCAGGTTGAAATTCGGTATACAATGTCACACTATGTGTCTCCTCTGTAACGGTGGAGACAATAACAGCAGTCGATATTGTATGTGCAGGAGGCTTTGCATGGGCTTAATTCCCACAACCATAATATGAACCAGGTGTCACCATCATCTGCATTATTTACAAGGATTGTACATGGCACAGCCAAGAGTCAAAGGCAGGCAGGTTTCTCAACACAGTGCTGAGATGTCTACACTGCGGACCCTTCAGGTACTTTCTAACCACCAGTCTGCTATTTTCTAGGGGAACAATTAACTTCCTGGAGTTATGGAAAAGCTGGAAAGAAGAAGCAAGTGAGCATCTGTAAGAGAAACAGATTCTCCAGTGAAGCACAGCCTGGTAGATCATTCTTGGCTGTCTGGGTGAGCTGGAAAATTGGGGTGAATAGTTGGTTGTTTGTAAAACTGTACTGATGACCATCTTTGAAATGCTACATTACTTCCACCACAGTCACATTTCTTTGAAATCTGTTGTGTAGACATGTGTGGGGCACGCGGCCTCACAGGTATAGATGGAATTACCCACACGGTGGGGGCCTGGCGAGCGCTCTTGTGCTTTGTTCCCTGAGGGCAATTTTGAGCCTGAATTTATCTCATCTGAGACAGGCGTCATGTCAGTGTCTACTTCGTAGGGTTGTTGTGAGGATTCAATGAATATACACCAAGCCCTTCAAGAACCATGTGCAGCAACAATGTGGGAATTCCTCCAGCAATATCAGGCATTGTTATTTTGGGACCAATCAATGATCCCAATAACTAGGTCTCTTGTTCTGTACCAGGTACCATTTCCTGTACTTTAATCATCACGTTCGCTCTTCCGTGTCTCACAACAGCCTTAGGAGGTAGGCGGATATTATGATCGCTTTTTCACTGATGACAGAATGGTCCCTGAGAGGACTGAGTGAGTTGCCCAGCTTTAGGGCAGGAGCCAAATCGAGCTCCTGGCCCCAGCCCCAGTGCTTTCCACTGTCTTGCAATGGAGCCCCAGAGGAAAGCAGGGCAGCCTTGTGTTTGCTCCAAAATCCCGCTTCTCATCCATGATGTCATTAACCCCAGAATCCACATGTACCCCCCGTGGCATGCAAGTCTGGACAGATTTCACGATTTAGTCCAAAAATTATTAGAGACACAGTTTCGAGTCCCAGAACTTAGTGATGGGCTACAATATTTGGAGTGGGGAGGAGGATGGCAAAGAATAACTTTTCAAAAGAACAAAACTTGCTATAGGCCCCCGAGCAGCAAAAAACCGGTTTCCAGGTCACAGCTGCTGTTCCTGTATTTCTTCACGCACATAGGTTCAGTAATGCTTCACGGTTTCCCTGTATCTTGCTCTGAGAAGCCGGGATGACAGCTCCTTGGGTGGCTGCTTTGCTCACTCAGGGAACTAAGCTGAAAAGCAAGGCGTTCTTTTCAGCTCAGATAAGCTACACCTTTCGGAGCCCTGGGGGAATGTCTTGGGCTGAGCGCCTCCAGCCTTGTCCAGTTCTTTCCTCTCAGCAGGCTCCGGCTATGGACATGTGTCTGAGCTCCGCGCAGCAGCCTGGGCGCCAGGGGGAAGAACCGAGCTCGCCAGGTGGCTGGTTAGGGGCCGAGAAGAAGGGGGTTCTGCAGAAAGACAGCACCGGGGGACCCGTAGAAGGTAACCTCCTTCTTCATCACTTCAACAGTTTTCCTCAGTTGCTTTCCCGGCAATGACGTTTTCAAGTAAATTTCAGTGACAAGAATTTCCATTTCCTTTTACCACTAGATTTTTTACTATAATGAAGCTTAGTGGAAAAATGGTGCTTTGCAAGCATAAACATAGCATTAAAAGTAATTCTGTTTTTTCATGATTTACTTATCAAAGTTCACACATTTGTTTTTATCGTATGTATAGATCTAAGATTGCTATATTTTTGTAACAAGAACTTAGAAGAAAAAAAATCTAGATTTGTTTCTGTTTTTCACCAAAATGCATTCTTGGCAGCTTTGCCATACAATGAATCTTTATAAATCAAACTCTATTTTCCCATTAGGACAATATAACAGTTTAGGGTTACATTTCTGGGCATGGATTCAGTTGTAAATAAATAACAGATACAACAAATGAGCTAATAAATGCCAAGATGCAGCATTTAGAGTGTTTAAAATTAAAAGTGGTAAAAAAAAATTCATTCCAACGCTAATAAATGAGAATGGTATCTATTTTTACTGAATTGTTTACACAAAAATGCAACTCTACCTTATCTGAAAATCTGATTTCTGTAAAACTATCAGAAGAGTACAGCTAGAATAAATGAAAATGTTTAAGGCGCCATAAACATACATTTGTTTATCTTTGTAGAACCTCACAGGGTCTTACAGAAGACATGTATGTCTATGTTTCTTTACAATGTTGATTGGAAGAGTGTAGCTGTCAAGCTTAATTGTCAGTTTATTTACCTGTGAAATGATGAGCTATTCAAAATCAGCCCCCTACTAACTCTTCCTAGTCTCTAGAGAAAAATAAGTCCCCAGACGGTGACATGTGAGAGGAGGGACAGGCATGGCTTGGATGAGAGTGGGGCAGGGCAGGGAAGCCCGCAGGGGCTGATATGGGTCCCTGATGCTCTGAGCCACCACCCAGTAGTGTGTTGGAGATGGCTTGTATCGGCACCTGAATTTCAGCAACTTTTCTAGCTCGTTGTTAAATATGACCATCATTCAATTTAAGTTAGAATCTTATGATTAAATAGATTATATCAAAGACAAAGTCATATTAAAAGCAAAGGAGATAAATACTCAAAACTCATTATCAATTATTCTACTATATCTTCCTAATATCTGTGCTCTCGAGATTAATCATGTATATGGTGTCCGGACAGTAGGAACCCTACACAGTGGTGAGGTACTGCACGTCTTTCCCCAGTGACGTCACAATGCTCCTCTGAAATCGCTGGGGTGGGAGTATTTACTCCAGAGCAATCATCAAACCCTGTCAATCAACGCTTTTCCCCTCTGGCTGAACTGGTTATTAAACATCAATCAGCCTATACTTTTCTGCCTTCTTCCTGCCTCTAAGCCAGAATTCAGGGTCACCTTCTCAGCCATGTGATAGGAGCTAGGGTTCTGTTAAGTATCAGTGGCTTCCCAGAAAATGTGGGGAGAGCTACAGGGCTCCCTCCTTACCCTACAATCTCCCTACAACCTCCTACCGGGGCAGGTGACAGAAAGGACAAGGTCTCAGGACTGAATTGGCTACCTTTTATAGAGGGGTCTTGCAAGTTCACTGAGGTCCCAGGTTTTTGGAAGCTCACCTTTTTGTCAGGGCAGAGAATTCTCCTTCAAAGTGGTAGGACATACTAAATCAAAATCACAGCCAAAAACAACACTCCGAAGAGCAGAAGGCACCTGTGATGCTCATTTACAAATGAGTCACTTCATTCATATATTTTTTAGTGTGCTGCACACTGATACTTTTGTAATATAAAACAAAAATGAATTTCTAGGGAAACTAAATGAAAATATATACAAACATATAAAATACAAGCTCCAGGTTTTGTTCTTAATTAGATTCAATAGACATTGTCAAATGGTTGTGACTATTTCTAAAGGCTCCCTCCAAATTCCTCTACTTACTGTGGAGCTGTCAGCAGGCTTTGCAGAGCGGTGGCAAGGAACGGTTCCAGTGTGTATGGCATGAGTGAGACGTCCGACACCTGCGGGGCCCGCCCCCGACCTGGGGAACGCCCTGCCGACCGCGTTTCTTCCAGGGCCCGCTTCCCTTCGCCTCTCATTCACCTCCTTCTGCCTTCCACCCGGAGTGTCTATTTCAGATTAAAACACTTCCAATGTTCGCCGGCTGCCCCTTCCAGATTTTTTCAAAGCTCATATTTTACCCCCAGTTAAAAAATTTCCAGTCATATCTCAGGCCACAAAGGCAGGTTTCATGCAAACAGAAGTGACCTTCTTCCCTGCCCGCCCCCCACCCCACCACCGCCGACAGTCTCCACACTGGTAATTCTTTGCCACCGCTGGGACCAACACCTTCTCCTCTGCTCCTGATCCTTCTTCCCCACACTTTGACTCACTGCTCTTTTTATTCCAACACTCTGGGAAACCTGCAAACACTTGTGATCCCATGTCAGCCCGATCAGGTGCTCTTTTCCTCTCATTTTATATGCCATTTGAGAGTTGCTAGTGTGTGTCATGGGTTTAAAGGAGTATTTAAAGCAATAGTAACTTAATAGCCAGAGCTCAGCTGCCAACTTCCCCCAGGGCTGTGGGGCTGGCTGGGCTTGGGTGGCCTCTACCTTTTGAGCAGCAATTGTAGGAAGGGTTGAAGGAACAGGCTCCAGCCAACATGTGGGAATGTTACCTCACTTCAAGACCTAAAAATAGGCAGGTCTGTCTGGGCGTGGTGGCTTACGCCAGGACTTTGGGAGGCTGAGGCAGGTGGATCACGTGGTCAGGTGTTCCAGTCGAGCCTGGTCAACATGGTGAAACCCTGTCTCTATTAAAAATACAAAAATTAGCCGGGTGTGCTGGCGCATGCCTATAATCCCAGCTACTCACGTGGCTGAGGCAGGAGAATCACTTGAACCCGGGAGGTGGAGGTTGCAGTGAGCTGAGATAATGCCACTGCACTCCAGCCTGAGTGACAGAGCAAGACTCCGACTCTAAATAAATAAATAAAGGCAAGTCTGTGTTTACCTAGTTCCTCTGTATCCAGACAGCTCATTCGTGCCATTTTGCTGGTAAGTTTGCCATTTTTCCATCAGAAAAACATAGGTTGGGAGCGAATCCATACCTCTTCTGTCCTTCCCTAAATAAGGAAAGGCCCAGAGCATCTTTTGGCATTTTGTCATCCTATAAAAATGTCACATTCAAATTTCCTGTCCCCATCGCCTCATAAAATTCAATTTTATGCCAGTTTACAGCCATTCTCCTGCGTAGCATTATCCTCTCTGTTCATAAGGAAGATCGCTGAATCTAATGCCGTCTTAGCAATTGTACCAAGTGTGTCTTTGCACAGGATTTTAACAAATTATAAACCCCATTTTATTTTTCTGCTTCACAGATTCCAACAAGATAGAACAATCTCTTCATAGCCTCCAGAAATTTGTTCCTACAGATTATGCCAGCTACACTCAGGAGCATTATCGGTTTGCAGGAAAGGAGATTGTCATCCAGGAATCCATAGAGAGTTACGGAGCGGTGGTGTGGCCAGGGGTGAGAGAACTGTCACGTTTGTGATGTCAGGATTTCTGCAGATAACAATTGCATACTTCCGAGTTGCCTTGGACAATATGTCAAGTTCCTTCATATCCTGTGTCTCTCAATTTGAGGTTCAATTGCTCGTGCCCTGGGGGATGTTGGTGGTGTGCTTGTGATCAGCAAAACAGTATTTTTTCAGAAGCACTGGTTTTGCCTTAAGCTCTGTTTCTTGAAATATTTTTATATTAAACAAACTCAGCTATATGAGGAAGTGAATGCAAAATTTATATGAACTGTTAAGAAAAAACCCAGGGGTTTAGAGTTTAGACTTTGCAGTGGGCATCTCCCAGCCACTCCCACCGACCCTCAGCCATCCATCTCTTTTTTGTTGAGACAGAGTCTTGCTCTGTCGCCCAGGCTGGAGTGCAGTGACATCATATTGGCTCACTGCAACCTCCACCTCCCTGGTTTAAGCGATTCTTCTGCCTCAGGCTCCCAAGTAGCCGAGACTACAGGTACCTGCCACCACACCTGGCTAATTTTTGTATTTTTAGTAGAGACAGGGTTTCACCATATTGACCAGGCTGGTCTCGAACTCCTGATCTTAAGTGATCCTCCCTCCTCGGCCTCCCAAAATGCTGGGATTACAGGCATGAGCCACTGCACCCAGCCAGCCATTCTTCTCTTTTCCACCTGGGCCGTGTTGGTAGGGATTTAGGAGGCATGACTTCATGACATGTCACCGCTGCCACAGCCTTGAGAGCATGGTGCTGAAATGGGGCAGTCCTCTGGATTTTGAGTCGGAAAAGCTTTCATTTCCAGCCTGCGTGGTCACAAACGTTCACCTCACCTCTGTTTGCCTTCATTACCATTTTTAAAACTAGGGTAGTGGTAATGCCTACAGCACTCCTGACATGATTCTCAGAATTACAAGAATTAATTTTAGGTTGTGAGATTAAATGAAGTCCTAGTGTAAGCTCACTTGAGCTGTCGTCATTAATGTAATATTCTTTCTTTCCACCTTTCAGTTGAGGAAATGGGGACGCAGGTGAGTCTGCTGGTGTGGTAAAGCTCCTGACTGGGGTGCAGGGCAGAGCCAAGCTGGGCAGTGGCCCTTGGAGCCAGCGCCATCGCTTTTCCCATTGCAGACATTGTCAATACTTAGAGAGGCTCCAGATCAGAACTTCTCAGTCTGCAGTCTTGTTCAAATGCAGATTCTGATTCAGGAGGTCTGGGGTGGGGCACAGTTCTTACACGTTCCCAGGTGATGCACATCTGTTGGACCACGGCCCCCGTATTGAGTAGTCCTGGTTATCAATTCCTTGGGGCTCCCTCAGGAACCCTGTGGATGACACAGGATGGGGAGAATGGTAGCAGAAGGGCTCCAGGCTCTTAGGGGGTCCACCTTCACCCACTCTCCAACAGGAAGCTCTATTTTACACCTTATGCATATAATTTGTTTCAACCAAAGGCTTTTCTTTGCCTTGAAAACAAGTTTGAAAATCACCAAACAACTCACAGCTTTCTATTATAATACATTAGGCAAATAGACAACAGCAGTGGTGTAGTGACAGAGTGGTGTAGTGACAAGAGATCAGAGGCCAGCGTGTGGCTTACACCTGTCACCCCAGCACTGTGAGGCCGAGGCAAGAGGACTGCTTGAGCTCAGGAGTTTGAGACCAGTCTGGCCAGCACAGTGAGACCCCCATCTCTCTTAAAAAAAGAAAAAAATTTAGAAAGAGATCAGAAAAAAGAGTATTTGCCCACCTGACTGTTTCATTTTGAACAAGGCATGATTCATGCACCAAACATCAGCCTCTCATGAAACCTGTTTCCTGAAATCCACACAAGAAGGTTATCTAAAATGAGACAGTGCCCTTTCCATGTGACTTCAGGTGCAGCTCTGTGGAAAGATCCCTTCAGAGTTTGCTAACAGGACTAGGGGCTGGGGGTGACATGGCTGTCCCCAAGAAAACCTTTATCTCCAGATGACACCCCTGGGGCCAGCCCCTCCCACGGCAGGGCACCAGAAAGGAGGCCTGCGGCTGTCTGCGGGAAGTACCTCAGAACTGCCCTCTAGATGGCTCTAGGTGACACTCTCTTCCTGATACTGACTCCTTTCCCCCAGCCCCCACAGCAAATACTTAGCTTCTCTCCGTAAGGACCAAAGAACTCTTTTCTCCAAAACTTCCCTTGTAAACTCCGGAGCTCCTTGCAGCGTGCTGCGGTTGGTGCTGGAAGTTGGCCCCGAAGCCTCGGCGGCTCCGTGGAGACCCCTCTCCCTCACCCTGCTGTACGCCTCCTCCCCAGCACTTACCTGCCCGGAACGCAGTTTGTATTTGGCTTACCTGGTCCCCCAGCCCCACCCCTGAGTTCCCAGACAGTCGAGGTGACTGTGTCATGTTCATCTTTGCCTGTGGAAGTTCAATATGAACAGATGAGGATGAAATGGAGTGACTTACAGGGTCAAGTTGGCAACTGAGCCTACCGTTGGTAATCGTAAGAGTGGCGCGTCTCCAGCCATCCTGGCTGCCCCACTCCAACGAGGCCCCAAATAGAAAGTAGAGTCCCGAGGAAGATGGGGCATATCTTTAGCTAGGGCCTAAATGTGTAAGCAAATTATAGAGTTCATTGTTTTTTCAAATCACAGTGTTCACATTCCTGACTCTAGGCTATTCATACGCAAATTGAAGCAACTATGTCATCTTCCTAATCTCTCAAATCCAGGGCACTGCTAGTTGATGCCTCATTGCCATAAATGTAAACATCTTATCAATCAATGCAAATCAAATACTCTTTACTCCTTTGTAGAAGGGTTAGGGGAAGGTGGAGGCAGAAGGGAAGGTATAAAGAAGAAAGGGATGTTTGATTTCCTGTATTAAAAAAAAAGATTTTTCATATATAAAACATTTAAAAAAATCTCCTTGCTGCTACTCAAAGTGCGGTCCGTGGGCCAGCAGATGAGCACCATGTCGGGGCTTGTTTAGACGTGCAGCCTCTTGAGCCCCATTCTCAACCTACTGAATGAGGATCTGCATCTATAACAAGCTACCCAAGGGATTTGTTTGCACCCTGGAGTCTGAGAAGCAGTTTCTCAACAGCCTGTTTCTTAGATGAACCACTTAAAAAGTCACTGCCCCATTGCTCTAGACGCCAATGCATTAGCCAACCTGAATTTTGGTAAAGGAGTCAAGAAAGAGGTGTTCAAGTTTATAAAATGACATTAAAAATTATTTCTATAATTAAAAAAACTCTCTTACAAGAAAGAATTCTAATATAAAACAACATTCTTAAAGGAGTTGGAGACCCGACATGATTAAACCAGAGGAAGAAATTGCTGTTTCTTTAGCCCAACATTGTCCTGATTGGAAATAGCTAAGCTGATCTGTTCTTCCTGTTCTTTGGAGATTGAGCAAATCTGATGGAGGCAATTTAACAAATCTGCTTCCCCAGTTCCTTAGATGCAATTTACTATAACTTCTTCATTTCAGAGGTCTAAATATGGCATTGAGCATACATTTGGGTTCTTATGAATATAAACCGAACATATTTAATAACGTGTCTTTTAGTATTTAAATTTGAGTGCCAGAAAGGGTTGCTACTGGTTTCCAATGTTCCAATGCCCACATGAAAAGTTATAATTATTTCTTTTAGGCTACGGCTTTGTGTCAATATTTGGAGGAACATGCTGAGGAACTGAATTTCCAAGATGCAAAAATACTTGAAATTGGTGCTGGACCAGGCCTTGTTTCCACTGTGGCCAGTATTTTAGGTTTGTTTGTTTATTCCTGACCTAGTGCCCAGAACTTTACTGTAACCGCGACAGCAAGTGCTTACTATATGACAGGCTGTGGTTTAGATGCCTGGCCCTGACTTCACTCAGTGAATCTTCCCCAAATGCCATGTGGCAGGAATTACTATTATCCACAGAGATTATCAAGTCTCAGGGAGGTTAATCTCTAATCAACCAGTTTCCATGGGACGAAGTTGAGTCCAGAGGCGTGACTCTGAATCTCTGTTGTCAAGCCCGTGGGAGGGTGAGGTGGGGGAGCTACCGACATCAGGTTGTTGGAGGCCAGGGAGACTGCTCACCGTCTTACAGTGCACAGGGCAAGGCTGCTCATTAGAAACTTCAGCCAGCCCACATTGAGTCACACGTGTTCAGCCTACCCAGTAGAGCCAAGGCTAAGGAATCCAGTTGTTTCTCGTGTTTCTCCCTGGGTATATGTACACTGTGGCTGCCCAACTGTTTCATCATTATTGCAATTTTTCTTTTTCTCTTAGGAGCTCAGGTCACAGCAACGGATTTGCCTGATGTCCTGGGAAACCTTCAATACAATCTTCTAAAAAACACACTACAATGTACAGCACATCTGCCTGAAGTGAAAGAACTGGTATGGGGTGAAGACCTAGAAAAAAACTTTCCCAAGTCAGCTTTTTACTATGATTATGTCCTAGCCTCGGATGTGGTCTACCATCACTACTTCCTGGACAAGCTGCTCACCACCATGGTGTACCTTTCCCAGCCAGGGACGGTGCTGCTTTGGGCAAACAAGTTCAGATTCAGCACCGACTATGAATTTTTAGATAAATTCAAGCAAGTTTTTGACACAACACTGTTGGCTGAATATCCAGAGTCATCAGTCAAACTTTTTAAGGGGATACTAAAATGGGACTAAAGCCAATCTTTTGAGTAATGTGTTAGAAATTGCTTTGGTAATAAAGACTTCTTTTATAGGATTGAGAAGGTAGTACAGAGAAACAACTTGTATACTTAGAACAAATGTAACAATACTGCAGAAACTTTCTCAAGTAACTTATTTAAGAGGATCTGGTTAATCTAAATATCTGGAAAGAATACCATAAAAATATGAAAGTAGCTTTGTTGGTTCCAAAGTCTTGGTTACATCTTTAATAAATCTTACATGGATAAATTACTAAGTAAATTTCTTCCCTATTTCTGCTATAGCACATTTTTAAACTTCTCAATATATTGTCACATGCTTTTTGAAACTGGGCTTGACAGGGTCACTATATTTAAGTTTGAAGAATCTATTTTTACAGATTTTTTAACTGCAGCAAAAAAAAAAAAAGGATATTGAGTGATAGAAAAGTTAATAGGCTTAAAAATAAAAAGTAAAACTGCTAAAATGAGAAAATGGACGTTGTTTTAGGAACTTCTTAAGATAATTTACAAATACTCTCCCTCCGTGTCAATTATCTTTAATAATTTCTAGTTAATTTCTGTATTGTCTGCTTTTTTTTCTTTTAACAATAAATATTTTAGACTCTCCAGGGCACAGGTCACATACTGTTCTACATCAAATTCTTTTTCTTTTTTTTCTTTTACAACCATTTATGAAAAGGTAAGAACCTTTTTAGCCTGTTAGATTTGGCTCACAGCACATAGTTTGCCAACCTCTGGAACTGCAGGCAATCCACATTAATACTGGAATTTGTAAGAGTTTAGCAAGGTGGCCAAATGTCAATATTGAAAGCTCAATTTTATTTGTAAATTCCAACTACAAATAGAAAATGAAATTTAAATAAAGATACCACTTACAATTGCAATATTGAATACTTAGGAATAAATCTAACAAAGCAAGAAGTGCATGCAAATGTATCTAGCATTATTGAGGCAAATTAAAACTAACCTAAATGGGGAGACATCAGGTTTGTGCATTAGGAGACATTGTAAATATGTCAGTTTTCTCCAAATTGATCAACAGCTTATGTGAAATCATTGTAAAAATCCCAATATACTTTCCTGTGGAATTTGTCAAGCTAATTCTAAAATCATGTGAAAATAAAAAGGTCAAGAAGAATCAAGACACTCCTCAAGAGCCTGGTGGGAAGATCTGATTCACAAGAAGTAGTACTTTAAAGAGGCAATAACTGAGACAGCAATTAGTATGATTTACTGATGTTCATACATATTGGTATTTCTTAGTGATCTTTAAATCTGCCTGTAAAACAAGAAGTACCTGTAAGTTTAAGGAACAAATGGATATTCTAGCCATAATTGCAAATATTTGTCTCTATTTTCTTTATTGATATTGCCTACTGAGAATATGAGTCTATGAGTCTCTAAGGTAAATTTGGTGATTCATCAAGTGTTGCTGAGGATGTGCAAAGCTTACAACTCTCACATATTGCTAGTGGGAATGTCAAATGGTACACATTTTGAAAATGGTCTGCTAGTTTCTTACAATGTAAAAAGAAATAATCTCAGCAATTTCATTCCTAGATAACTACCCTACATTACTTTAAAAGATATGTCCACACAAAGACTTGTAAACAAACGTTCACAGCAGTACAGCAGCATTATTCCTAATAGCCTCAAATAGAAACAATCCAAACATCCATCAACTGGTGAATGAACAAAATGTGGTACATCTCACAATGCAGTATATGCAGCAGCAACAGAGAGTGAACAGATACACCTAAAGTGGCTGAAACTCAAGAACACTACGCTAAGTGAAAGACACAAAAAATTACATATTGTATGATTCCATGCATATGGAATTTCTAGAAAAACTACAGAATTAGAAAGCTGATCACTGGCTGTCTGGAGCTAGGGGTGGGAATGTAGACTGGCTACAAATGAGCTTGAGGGAGTTCTTCCAGATGATTGGCCAAGGGCTAAAAACCCAGATTGTGCTGATGGCTGCATTCTAGACATTAGACTGCACAGTTGACATGGTTAAACTCTATGATATGTACATTACACTTCAATAAAGCTGTTAAAAAAAAAACAACTCTGGTTTGTCCCAAATGTTATACAAATTTTCTTTCAAATCCTCTACCTTTCAAATACACAATGCAGTGGAATCTATTAAGAAAATTACAGAAATGAAACTCAATCCCTTAAATCTCTTCTCAGACTTTTCACATTTCCAGGGCAAAGGAATATGATCTTATGCTTATTTTGTAAATGAAGTGTCCTTTTAGAATGGCTGAATTGATGTACTTTTTCTTTAAACGATTCCAGAAATTTTTAAATAGAGGAAAGTAGGCTAATTGCACATTTTAAATACGTGTAGTTTATTATATAGCAACTATAGGCCAATATTCCGCTAAATAAGTACATTTCAACTTATGGAAAATCATGCTTAATTTAAACCATTCCTTTCTCTGTTCCCCTATTGATTTGAATCAGAAAAATCATTCCTTCTGTAAATTCAGCTTCTATCTATACAAGATACATAACCATAATACTATCACATCTAAAATATTTTATATTATTAAGTAATGTAGTGTTCAAATGTTCAATAGTCTCAAAGTGTTACGACATTTATTTTTAGTTTCGATCAGAACACAATGAGGTCCGAATTGGATTAACTAGTATGTCTCTGAAATCTGATCCTCCCTTCATCTTAGTTTTTTGTAGAATTTCATACTACTGCATTATGCAGACTGCATCATTAAGAGTGTCCTTTAATTTGTTCCTCTAGCCTCTGTTGTTTCTGTAAATTGTACATCTTAATGACTCAGGCTTGGGACCATCTAGCCCAAGTCCAGTTTAGATCTGCCAAATGCCAGGCATATGACTTACTAGTGAAAATAAATTACTGTAGACAGCTGAGTTCTGAGGTGGCTTAAAATCACACACAAAATGAAATTACAAAATACATTTTTAGTTGCTTTTTCTTCTATTCGCATTTTGGGTAAGACCTGGCTGATTCTAGAGTGAATCTGGTTTACGTGTCTGGGTATGCAGGCAGCCCCAGCTGCACAGTGAAAACCTGACCCTTGGCACTGACATTGAGACTGTAGTTCTGTATGTTTGTCCCTTGAGAGGACTCAGCTTGAATTCACTGTTGTTTGAAATCCTCTCACAAAAGCAGGGGTTTTAAACTAAAGCACTATATTTGCAGAACTGAGTGCAGAGGCATTTTGCAGCAAAGTGCTGGCAGGTGCTGCACCATCACATCCTGACCTGGCTCTCTCAGGGTATCAGGAGGGCAGGTGGAGATTCTGCTGATGGGATGGATGCCCAAGAACCCTTCATGTTAGAGCAGCACTTACATCTTTCCATTGTAGTTTCCAGGATTTTACTTAGTCAGCTTCCTTTTTTTAGTTTACCACCCATGACTACTGATACATTTTTCTCCCCCTGGTTTACTACGTTCAGACTCAGACTCATGAAGTTCAGTTTCCCAATTTATTCCTCAAAAACTTTTCCCCATTCAAGGTTTCCTCCCTTCCCACTTTAGTGGAGATGGCAAGGATACCTCTTATTTATCTCCCTATGCAGGCTTCTCTGATTTAAATCCTACAAGTAAAGACAAAGACACATGTATTCTGAATGCTGCGTTGTTGGGAAGACAGAGAAGGAAACACAGTGGAGGAAAAGACTCAGTTAATTCAAATGAAATAATTTTTTAGTTGTTACAGACACATTGAATCAACACCGTTAATTTTCTTAAGGAGATTCACGGGGGTCAAGCGATTTGCCTTGTCAGAAGAGACCCAGGCTGCGGCTTCTAGTCATCCAGCCCCTGCACATTTCATTAGAGCTGGGGGTAGAGGGAGAAAGGGTTTATGATTTGTGGTGCCTAAGAGGAGGAGCAGGCGGGGCTCTTCTGGGGTAAAGAGAAGTTCTTCCAGGAAGCAGGCTAATATGAGGAAGGAAAGAAATCCCATGAGATGGGACCTGCCTCTTACCATCGGAAAGGGGCCACAGAACTAATACTGGGCACACACTCTGTACTGTCTCTAGTACTTCTTTAAAACATTATTTTTACCTAGCTTTTTTTTCAGTTGTTTTCAGTGGGTGTGCACAAACATTGGCTATTGTGATCAGAAACAGGAAAACTGCTTGACTTTAAAGTACCATCCTATTCCTTGTGTTATTTTTAATGTAATCACATAGAAACAGTAATGATTTTACTGAGGACATCTAGAACTTACTTGGGTCCACTTTCACCACAGAAATGCAGAATGATTCAGACAGGAAGCAGGAGCTAACGTGGCAGCTTCGTGTAACTGCCTCCAGTTACAGGAGTCATAAATGAATAGGCATGGCTCTGTTGCAATAAAACTTTATTTACAAAAACAGGCAGCAGTCCAGTTTGGATTAAAGGGCCAAACGTTACTGATTCCTGCTGTATGTAGTACTAACTTGAAATAGCAAAACCTGGGTTATAAAACAAGGTCTGTAATTAATTACCAGTCAGTCAGTCAGCAGTATGACCTTGGGAAGTCATCCTACCTTTACTGAGCTTCTCCATTCTCTTACTGGACTAAATCTATACAAATGGGGACCTGTATGTTTGTACAGGTGAAAGTCCATGAATGCATGAGACAGAACTTGCATGCAGCTGTTCATGGATAGAATTTAGACCCTAGATATCCCAGAAGTTGTGTACAATATGCGTATACATGTATTTATTTTTCTCATAAAGGCTCTAACAATTTCATGAGATAAAGCAAAAACAGTTATAAATGACTAGACAGGGTTGCTGGTAGGCCTTTTGCAGGGGTAAATTTTAAAAGAACGAGATTAAAAAATCATACACACACACACACACACACAATTTGCCATTAGATAAGGGATTATAACCTTTTTAATACTACTTGTGTCTGTTTATTCGGTGGAAGAATGATGAGAGATGCACGTGTAGTAGTCAAAAGTTAGATGTACACAAAAGTTAATCACACGCAATAACAATTGGAAATATATTGAAATAACTGCAAGCCTATAAGAAACACTGTAAAATAGATTACCTTATGTTTAACATTTTTTGTCTATGTATTTAATGTATTATTTCTTTTATAACCCCAAATTTTATTTATGAAAAATTAAGGCAAAGTTTAAGAAGCTTCAATATTCACTTTTATTATTTAAAAAAAAAAAAAAAATTAAGGTACCAGAGTGCATATGGTGTACTGTGATCTTGGTTTTGCACATTTATTCACGTGTTTTACATTATTTCAATTTTAATAAACATATCATATGTGTATCTTTACAATACCTGATAAAGATTCAGCTGTCTGGCACTTATGCATGTATTCACAGAGTTCATTCTGATGCTTTGCACTTTAAGAGGATGTGAAAATGACTTGCCTGTAATTACCCCAAGGTAAAGATCTATTGAAGCAGTTGTGCTCCAGCAATTGCCACTCATTTGTGCTGGTTCTATTTTTTCCCCTTAATTGAATGTAAACATTTGCCAAAAAAAAAAAAAAAAAAAAAAAAAAAACTGGAAATGAAGTTCTGTTAATTTTTAGTCCAATAAATAATTTTAGCTACATTTAATGTAGCTTTTTTAAGGCCTTCACACGATTGAAAAAAACTAAAGTTGAGTATGTTAAAACCCTGTTCATTTATAAAATAAAAAATAGAACTTTACAGGTTTGCAGTTAAAAGTTACCTTTCAAAACCTGTCATGCATGTAATAAGCTGCAACCCAACTCCAAGGCCTAGGTGCCAGCAGGCAGGGCACATCCCTGTGCCAGCAATGTGAGGCATTAAGAAAACACCATGATGTCAGAGGTCTAGATTTACATGTATTAAGCCACACGTCAGTGAATTCTCTGATAAATACACATCATTTTAATAATCAGTATTGGATAGTGGATGAAAACATGCATTAGACTAAAAATGCCACAAATTGTTTTTATATCCATTCACTATAAAACGTTCTTTTTTAAAATTGAAAGTCTTGTTTCCTATTTTAGAATACACAATAATCGGGAGGATACATGATGGGGAGCCAGTTTTCAGTGAAAGATGCACAATGGGTCCATCCAAGTAACTTCATCAGCTACAACAAAATAATATTATTTTTAAAAAAGTGACGGTTTAAAGCTCAATATTTAGAATTAATTCTGTATTAAATATTTCGTAACAATAAGGTAGTAGCATATAGAACCTTCCTTCCACGAACCCACTGTTACCCACCCATTGATCTTCCTTTCCAGCAACCAACTTTTCT